ACCCCCTGCCCTGGGTCGGGCACTGAGAGATAAACAAGCCTTTGGGGAGGGAACCAAGCAGCTGGTGACTGTCCTGCCTCGATTCCCCAAGGTACCACACGCTGAAAGCTTTGCACTTTCTGCTGGGACAGCAGGGGGGGCAGGAGGATGCCCCCGCACAGCTCTGTCCTGAGCCAGGACTGCAGTCGGAGGAGCCGAGCTCGGCCAGGCAGTGTGATGGGAACTGCTGACTGGGGGAGGCACTGGGGCTGCTTTGGAGGCCACCACTCTCTGCTCCCAGGGTGGTTTGGCCGGAGAGCCTGATGGAGCCAGATGTGCTGTGGTGGGAATTGGGGCTGCCCCTTCCCCCCCCAACCCTGCCACGAGTTGCCCAGCTCAGAGTCCAGCCGGTGTTGGATTCCCCCTCACTGTGGAGCCCCACAGGCAGCAGGAGGTGGGGAAGGACGTCCCAGTCCACCCGGGTGTGTGCCCAGCCCTTCTCTTACCTGGGAAGCAGAGCAGCAGGAGGAGGAGGATCCTCAGCTCCATGGCCGTCCTCAAGCCCAGGGAAAGGGCATTGCTGGGGGCTGCCCACCGTGTCCCGTTCAACAGCGTCTGCCCCGTGAGCCCTCCTGTGTCACAGCGACGCTGCTGGAGGAAGCGCCTGAGGTCTTGCTTTCCCACGGAAATCCTCGTCACATTTTGCTACAAGACCGATATTAAGATAATTTCAGGGTGCTACTGGGGAAGTGGCTGAAAGCAGAATTCGGCCTGTGCTGATGGCAAAGGCCCTTTGCTGCTCTTGCCTGCCCATCATCACACTCTGTCCTCACACTAGTGGCAGTCGGGCACAGACCTTTGCCCTGGTGTATCCCTCCTCTCTGAGCTCCCAGGGTGTCCTCCACTCAGCCCCTCGCTGGAAAGTCTCCTCAAAGCCCGGGTGGCCGTGCCTCCAGGGCTGTGCCTGCATGGACCCTCCCCCGAGCCGTGCCGGGCCCTTTGGGATCCCCTATCACCACCCCCACCACCCCCGGCAGTCCCCTTGTGCCCTGGGCTCTGCCATGCACAGAGCCCTCATGGTCCCTTCCTCCAGAGTGCCCAGCTGGACAAACCAGACCAGAACCCTCTGGCTTTTGCACGTTTTATTTACTGTGGGGCAACCTCCCTGGTGCAGGGGCCCGTGGGGAAGCCGAGAGGGTTTGCCGATGTCTGTGGGAAGTGGGGGTGCTGCGGGGTGAGCCCCTGCTCTGTTGCACCAGCGGGGCTGCTCCCAGGAGGGACCTGGCAGTCCAGGAGTGCTGGTGGCAGAGCCCAGGCAGGCTGCGAGGGCAGCTCCCAGCTGGTGGTGCCCAGGGGCTCCTCCCAGCCCGCCTCTCTCCTCTGCTGGTCCAAAGGAGATGAGGAGGTGAGGCTGCTGGCTGGGCTGGAGATGGGCAGAGCAGAAAGAGGAGGAGGAAAGAAGGAGCGCATTAACTGAGGCAGTAGGAAGCTGGTTTTCCCCTCTCTCAAAGTCCCTTTGGCCTTGGCCGTATTGCATGCAGGAAGATGTTTAAGGGCTGGCCTCAGGTGAGGCTGGCGCGGTGGCAGCGGGTGGTAGCTTGTGCTCTGGCTTGCTGGAAGAGCCTTCTTCCACCTGGGGCACAGAGCTGCTTTTGGCACAGGCTGTCACATCAGCTGCCTCTCTCCTGGTATCTCCTGCCCTGGACGGGAAGAGGGAAAAGTCTTTCATGAAAGGTCTGTTAGCCAGGATGTGCTCATACTCAGTCCAGCGAGGGGAAAAGACGGCTCATGTTTCCTGATGGGGGGAAACGCTTCCTGCGCCTTGCAGAGTGATAGGAACTTCCAGGAACCGGGCACAGATTGACTGGTCATCCAGACTGAGCCTTGTGAGAGGGAGGCTTTGTATATTTGGAGATCTTTAGGCTGTGGGAGACGTTTCTTCTCTTAAGCAATATGTTTCCTTCTGAGTAGTATTTGGGGCGAAACTCACACCAGAGTGGTTGGTGCTGAGCAACAGAGGGAGAAAAGCGAATACCCTGCCTGCTTTTAGACTGTGTGGGCTTTAAACTACATTGGGTATAAAGTGATGGGATGTGTCAGCCCTAGCAGCCACGAGTGGTGTAGCGGGAGGAGCTGCTTTTGGGAAATTCAAGAGACACAGGGAAGAAGAGGGGAAAGCTGTCTCTATACAGCACTGGGTTTTTTTCCCCCAAGCCTCTTCACCCCTCTCTTCCTTTTCCTTTTCTTTTCACTGTGCTCAAGGGCAGGGGCTCAGCGTGCCTGTTGGGCTCGGTGTCCTGTCTGTATTTCACGGCTTCTCTGAACGGCATTCAATTACACAAGCTCTCCCCAGTGGAAAAGCTTTGGAGAGAAGGGACTTGCTCTGGTTTTGGCTAGAAGCCCACATGACTTGCATCCCCACCGGGCAGGTGGTTCCCCTTCTGGAGATGACTTGTTCTTTTGCAGTGTGATTTTGCTGCTTACTATTGTCCAGATGCCTTCACCGTGGAGATCCTCTTCCACCTTCTTGCGAGGAACACTAGGATCACTATTGCCAGGACCTTGCTGGCCACGATACCAATGACAAGCCAAAGGATGATCTGCAACCTGGAAGAAAAGAAAAAAAGATACAAGCCTCCCCAAACCAGACCACCTAAAAAATCCCCACAAGAGCAGCAGAAGTGATCCAGAGAGATGGAGGGGTTTCCCCAAGAAGGGTCAATATTTCATAGAACATGACCGCTTTCTTTCACCCGTAAGGGGAATCCAGCAGGAAGTACGATTTAGGGGAGACCCAAATGAATTTAAAAAGGAAGGTAACCCTGTCCCAAGCATAATTCTACAGATGGCAGTTGAGCATTATCAAAGGTGTATCTCCCCCAAACCATGGAGAGTCAGATACTGCAGATTGCTTTTGAGATATCTTCCCCACATAGAAAACTCCCAAAAGGAGCAAATTTAACAGGGTACTGTCAATGAAGACGACAGAGAAACGGAAAGAG